TTTATTCCGCTGTAGTATAAATTTTCCACCCTCAAGCTCCTGCTGATTTGCTGGCAAAGAAGTTTCTGCTGTTCCCCACCTGATCTGCTGTGCTCTGGAGCTGTTGCGCGTCACCCAGGTGGGTGCTGCCCTTCAACAGTGGATATACGTGAAGGCGTGGAAGGTGCTCGAAATCCTTTCAAGTGGAAAGAGCAATATAAACCCAGAAATTACACAGAGCATCTCCCAGCACTGCAGAGAACTGCAAGCAGACCCCAGTGTAAGAAAATCTCACTGGACCCACACGTGTGAACACTGCAGACATTTTGCATGCACACTAACCTAAACCACTACACTGCAGTCTTGTTTGTAGCTTGTATACAGGACAATGCCCTCAGCTTTTCAGAAGACAATGTTACTATAGGACTAGAACTCTCAAATGGCATTCTGCCTTGAGCTACAGCAGAGCCTTGTCTGTTGTCGCCAGTCCAGAACAACCGACAGAGTTGACAGTTCAAAAATACCATACTGAAGCTTAGAAACATGTAACACAGGATATATATATATATATGCCAGTTTATAGGTTATAAAAGTTATTTGGCCCATCTTATTAACACAGCTATATATTAAAACTCCTTTTACATACAGTACAGTACATACAGTACATCACATAGCCTACAATTTTTGCCATCTTCTCAATTGTTCTACTTCAAATCTAGAAAGCTGCCTAAGTGGATTTAATTAAAAACTAATTGTAGAGATTAAAGATTCCAAATTGAACACTGTCATATTAATTTGTATGGGTTACAGTTTGAAACTCAATAAACAGTTATATACTTCAAAAACAAGCATTTTACATAAAATAATAACTAAGGAACTCTGACCTGTTAGTAGACAATATACTGTATAGTTGTTTCTATATTTATATGCACAAGTCTGTTTTAAAATTGTAAGACTATACGAGTTTACAAACAAGAGAAGGTCATTTAGCCCAACAAGCTTGTGTTTGTTTGTAGCTAATTGATCCAATCTTGAGTATCTTACAAAGTTGTTTCTTGAAAGAAGCTGCAGTATCCACTTCAGTATGGCTGCAGAGTTTGCTATAGGCTCCCACAACCCTTTGCGAAAAGACATCCCTCCTGTTCCCAAGTTCCAGATGCAACTCCCATTAGGTGCTACTTGTGTCCTCTGGTTGTGAGTGAAATAAGCATTTATTCAAAAACAATTCTTTACACTGTAAAATATAATCTTAGCCTTTCACATCGTGATCTGTAATGTTCATTAGAACTACCAACACTTCCTTAAACATCGCAGTTTGCACATCGGATGTGCCTGATGATGTCAAATTAATTAGGACGAGCCCTTCGGATGCCTCCGCAGTGTCACTGATGGTTGTTTCACCAATGTTTTTGGTCTTTACTTGTCCGGACAGAGAAATCCTTCATTTGAAATGAGCGGCATGAATGAATTTAAAATGTTAGCCTGGACAGCTCAAAGTAAAGGAGTCTGAGCACATCCTCAGCTTAAGAATGATAAACATGTCTTTTTGATGACCAGTAAATCCATTCGATGCTGCCAAGGGTAAATCGAATTAAATTCTTTCATTTCGGCCTCCAGACTTGGTGTGGCAGCTCCAGCCCAAAGTGGTCTATGCCTGGAGGACGTGTGGAACATGAGTCTGTTGCTTTGTAAGGGGGCAGAGCATGGTACACTACCAAAAAGCCCATGCCCAGACAAAACTAAAAACGAGTTTATTTCACTGCATTTTTAGTCTTTCACCTAGACCAAAAATTAAATGTGTATCTACATTTTATCATGTCTAGTATCTTCTTTGAAATTGCAGGTAGTGGAGTGTTTAACATTCCCTTGTCAAGCATCTCCCTGCTGTGACAATAAATGCCTGTCCAGTTTTGTTCACAGCAGCATACACAGATTAGAAACAGCAGGAGAACTCTGTAGTGTGAATACAATACCGATAAGAACGCTTGTCTTAGCCCCACCGCTCAAGCAATTCTTGGAATGTGAGAACCCGCTGTTTTCTAATATTTACACACAACTAGAATCACAAATGCACCATAACTGAACAGAAAAAAATGCCTTTTTTCTTTTCTAAAACGGGTTTGGGGAAATAAATAAGTACATGCAATAACAGAGAAATTTATGTTACCTCTATTCCCTTCAAATTCTCAGAGAAAGACTATTGAAAATAGCAGGTACTAAAACTTTCTTCAATCGCAAAAGACAAAATAAAAAAATTAAATATATAGAAACTCTCACTACTAGAGCATTTGTAACATTCATCCCTGACTCCCACTGTCGGGTATGCAGGGTAAAACAAAGAAGATGAGATTTAAATCTTTGGGTTCCGAATGCCAGAGTTCACTTTTGAATAAAGGCACTTGTCTTGTTTCTGAATATTCAGTGACATTTCTGCAGCTTATACTGTACATGCAAAAAATCCGAAAAGGAGGGGATGCTTACTTTTTACTCCTTGAATAAAAATATACACAAAACTACAGGCACCCCAGCCTATGCAACGATTGTACATAAAATCAATCCCACAGTTTTGTCCCAAATGATAACACATCACTAGATTAGCCAATATAATGTGAAGATACTGTAGCAATTGTTTCTCCCACCCTTTCAAGAAGGATTTGACCCCTCCCCAGCTATGAATTTGCTTAATCTGCTCCAAAGTACTACATGGTAATATAGCATTAAAAAAGTAAGCAGCACTGCTTGTTCCATTAAATAAGGCTTGATTAATTGAGATATTTATACCTGCTTTACTGAAATTCGCAAGCTATTAGTCAAGCGTCAGGAGCTAGAAAACCATTGCAGTAACAGTCACAACATTCTGTTACTTACAGAATGTCCTATTTCTATCTGAAGTACTCATTCACAGGTTTTGAACTTGTTACAAGAAAAAACTGCAAGAACAAAAAATCCCAAATTAAACTTCAAATGAATTCCTGTCCTTTTAAAAGCCTACTGCCAGAAAAAGAGATCGTCGGGTTAAAGGTTTAATAAATGTTCAATTAATACTACTCTTTACCTCTATATTTTCTCCAGATAAAATTGTATTTATAATACTCCAGCAAGACTGCGATATCCTTATTAGTATCGGTATATTTTATATACAAATATTTTTCAACGCATTGCAAAAACATGCTATTTTTTCTAATTGAACCCAACAGACTTTTTTTTAATGTTGTACATAAAACTGTTTTTTTAAATTAAATAATACTCCTTACTCCTACTTAGAAAGCGCTGTTCAATACCTTTTGTATTAAAAAAAAAGTCCTATTTCCCAGAGTGTATGTTCACCTTACTGAGCAAACGCCTGCAACTCCCTGCTTTTAAAGAAACAACAAAGACTGCAGAAAGTTCCAGGGCAGTGCATCTAGACAAAACCTAGACCTGACTGTCACCAGTTTTGTGTGATTTCATTTAGAATTTCAATCAACAAATTTCAAAAATACTAACCTTTTTTGGATGAAGTGAAGTTAGAGAATTGAAGAATTCTGCATCATAAGGAAACTCCTACAAACAGAACTTTGGGCGTCAGAAGTACTTTGTTGTGTGTCAATTGAATTAAATTTCCTAACGGCTCTTAATTTAAATAAAAGGTATGTGAAAAATACTGCTCGAGCGACAGACACTTTTCACATGTGAAAACGGGAGAAGAAACAGGTGGCACTTGTGTGTCATACCCCTACAGCAATCATTAGGCACTACTGCCACCTGCTGGGCACAAGTGGTGGAGTAAATGTGCCATCTTCTTTTTCACTATCCCTTGTGGGCTCCTGCAGGACTAGATCTTAGCTTAAATACAAAAAGTACAAACTTCTCTTGAGCTGTAACTGTTAAATACTAAAAGGCATGTCTTTCCACAAAGGACACTACCGTGAACTGCTGAGAACAAAGACAAAATGCTAAGATAGTCCTTCACTTCTTTAAGTGCACAGAATCAAAATAACAAATATTTTAAATCTATTAATTTAAAAGTAGTGCAGGAAAAGTTTAAGCTAGGATCTATTATAATACATAACCCTTAGCAACCTACATCTGTACATCTATTTCATATATAATTAACAGTAAAAAGAGCTGCAGGTCACCAGTCTCATTAGATTAATAACTATTTTTGTGGTTATGAACCTTGATATACCAGCGTCACATTTATCTGTGGAAATCTGACAAACCGCTATAATCTGTAATGCTTTCACAAATTATGTCAGTTAATTTCAGCTCTGAATGTCAGTTTTAATTTTTTCTTTCCTCTAGATGTAATATAGAAACAGAATTTTTGACAAGCTTTCAGGGCAGTTCATTGCTGTGTCAAACACACAAAAGTGACAAACTGGAATTTGCCGAGCTGAATCTGGATCACTCAGATTTCTGTAAACTGTTGAGATTTACTGTGTTCCTGACAACAAAAAACAAAGAGTGGAATCTAAAATTCTCAGATACTAAGTTATCAGGTCCACTGTATTAGAATTAGAAAGGCCAATGCATAAAATTACAGCTCTAGAATGTAGACTGAATTCCTTTGTGAGTATCTCTGCATTTCCATTTTATTTTAATGATGTTCTGATACTCATTTGAAAAGGAAGCAAGAGGAAACCCACAGTATCTGGGTGAAGATCCAGGTGGAAACCATGTGAATAACAATAAAAGTAAACAGCAAACACTCCATTCTATACTTTTGATCAAATAGTGGAAAGTTGCAACAAGCCACAAACAGACCCTGTGCAGTATGTGTTCTCTACAGCCTGCCACAATTGCCTGCTTCAGCACTGGTATCAAAGGGCTGTCTTGCATCTCTGAGAAATGAGAAATATGAATTCATGACTGCTTTCATGCAAAACAAAAAGGTAGGAATATGGTGAAGCACCAAAGTGAAAAAGGGCTGCTTGCTAACAGTTTAGGATCTTACACCCACAAGCCCAGCACTCCCTCTCGGGCTAGGTTTACTATTTTATTTTGAATTTTGCGGCACTAGACTGCAAAAAGATTCTGAAGCCTTTTCTGAAGTTATTTATTAAGAAATTTAGAATGCTGCACATTAAAAAAAAAATTATCAACGTATAAAGTATCCCCAAATTTGAAAACTATTTTCCAAGGGACAGAGCAAAGTTTAAAACAAAGACATTCGAGACAAGTGCATTACTCTAAAACATATGTCAAAACTACAGAAAAGCTGGTCTCAGGCATTCTTCTTCGGCCGCCCTCTTCCTCTTCCTCTTTCAATACTTGGGGAGGTCTGAGTGCCCATCTCCACAAGCTTCTTTCTGGGAGACGGCTTTCGTTTCAACATACTTCCATCTGAAAAAATGAAGAAAAAAAAACATTGGGGGAAAAAATGAAAACTCATTCCAAACACCCCAAATGCAATTATGTTTTTATTTTGTAATGGACCGAGCTTTATTTTCCAGTAAAAAAAAAACAGATTTATAAGAAAACGCCACCTTTTTTCGTGGGGGATTTTGCTTTCTTCCTTGCTGGAACACTTGCTGCCTCTTCCACAGATGCCTCTCGCTCCTGCGCACTCTTTCTCTTGGTGGGCTTCTACAGGCACAGGAACATCGCATTCAGAACAGCAGCAAGCGGCTGCTGCCTCCGCGAGAGGCGACAGAGAAGCAGCAGCAGCAGCAGCAGACATTCGGAGTTCAAAAGTCAGCACAGTCAGAATTCAGTGGGAAAATGTATTGAACAGTTTCTCCTGAACATCACCGTAAGGAAGATCCTTACCAGGAACAAGAAAAAATGACAGAAATAATTCTGCAGGATACTCTGATGCACTCTGTGCAACTGAAATTCTAACCTGAAATTAACTTTCAAAGGAGAGAAGCCCTTTTACTTTAAACATTTCTTTAAGGGCTTTTACCTTTCCTGTAACCCTCAGAAAATGGCAGATCAATACATTTTAAAAGCTTGTTCTTCTTATAGGCGATATTCGTTTTACATTTGCACTGTCACCTTTGATTTAATTTTCTTCTCCAAAGAGGAATAATCACACAATTGCTGCACATCCTTCCTGTTCAATCACCGTAAAGTATAATTGACCATTTTAATTCAGTCCTCTTTTCCTGTTCATTAACTCGTCCAGGCCACATTCATAAAGCCTGTTTTCACCATGCAGAGTTAATCATGGTGTTTTGAAAAATGAAATAAAGCCCTAATGTCTCAGAGAAGACATTGAACCTGCCTGCTGAGACAGATTATACTGAAACTTACTATATATATCATGTTTTTTTAAAATGAGGAAAATCAAGTGTTAGGGAGCAAGTAAACAATTTCTAACTATGTCATTCATGTACAATGCATAGTATCCTACCAGCCATTAAAAATCTACTCCTAAAATGCTGGCAGAATTATCTAGGACTTTTCACCACTGCTATGAAATGTATCAAAAGATCTGGGCGATACTGGTTTTGGCACTTCCAAATTTACATCAAATGAGTACCATCATTTTGACATCCATTTTAAAATGGTAAGTATCCATTTTACAACATAAATCTTGCAAATTAAATAATAAAAATAACTAGGAAAAAAACTAACCTTGAGAGAAAGGTAATCCAACACATCTGTTCTACTATAAACTACCACATACAGTAGCTTCATTCAGGCTTTTTAGTAGAGCACTATAATCCTAAATAGCCTAATCCATTTTTTTCTAAGCACAACAAACATTCTGTAAAATAAGAGAAACAAATCAGGCTAATGATTTAGTGATTACTGTATACTGATAGAAAAGCAATGCACTCCAAACACCTTTTTGCTTCTGAAGATACTAGAAAACCACAGCAAAACGGAAATTTATTTTGAGCTTGAAAATATCTTAACTCAGGTGACAACGAAGATGCACTTAAAGACAGCAATCAAGTCCTGTCTCTCGCTAAGAGATTGCAATAATGAACACTTTTTTCCTGACTTGAACTATCACAGTACTTTTTTTCCATTTTGCCAATTGCTGCCTCATGATTACCATCTAGACCCTGCTGAGCTGAACAGATTGGCTCGATAATTACATACAATAACTGCAGTGGGCAGGTAACCCTCAGCTGGCACAGGCCAGCTCCCTGGTGGAAACTTCCATATGCAAACTGCACTGAAGAAGTGCATTATGTCCATCCTGCCTGCCGCAGCACAGCAGAGTGATTATCAGCCAGCTCAGACTCCAAGGTTACCATGTCAGCAAATTTGTGATACATTAACACGGAATAAACACAGACACTTCAGACCCCGTCTGAAAATTAAGGTGGAACAACCTACACAAAGCCTTCGTTATCAGTGGTTTATTAAAGGAAGCCATTACTCTTCTGTTTTTCTTGACACTAACTTTTGCAAAGATTGATAGGAAATGCCTTTTTCTTAAAAGGAATTTAAATACGAGTTACGTAGAATTACAGCTCACTTATCAAGACATATGTTTGCTGCATTTACTTGATAATGCTACATTAATAGAATTAAAAGTTTCATCCTTTTTTATCTTTAGGGGGAACATTCATAATGAACACATATTTCAAAAAGTTACCACAGCTAGCTATTAATAAAGAGAGGGACCATATCCTTCACATATGAAAAACCTGAAATTTTCTCATACACACGCATAAGCCATGTAATGCACTGGAAAAACTGTTGTTCTCTCTCTCAATGTAATTTACCTTATAACATTATAGGAATCTAATGTATTTGATCACTATATAGCACATACTCTTATGGAACAAACGGAGGATAAGGAGGAACAGGAGGAAAACGCACATATCTGACAGACTGCTTCACAGGATCTGCAGTGGGTTAAACAAGAGGGGCCCTCTGGTCCCTGCTGCTCAAACTCAAATCAACATGCAAAAGCTTAGAAACATACGGTTTTAATAACTCCAGTTACGACAAGAAAGGCCAGCTGTGATCCTGGAGGGCCAACGGGTGCTGGTGTTTTAATTTCAGATGATCGCTCAGGTACCTAGCTGAACAAATCACCCACTTCAATTGCCATGACAAAACTATTTCATGCCTTTACAAAATGACGATTTTTAAAGGTGACCTGCAAAGTCTACTGATTTGTGGCCCTCCAGGAAGATTGTTGGCCACCCCTTGTAAAATGTCAATTGTTATAAATATCTCATTTTTTCTGGATGACAGATTACTTGGCATGCTTGAAGAGTACAACAGACAGTGATAGAAAAGAAAAGAACTGTCACCTAATAAATGTATATGCTTTGCAGGCTAGCACATCACAATTCAAATTCAAACAATGAGTGGCTCAGAGACAAAATCTCAGAATCTGTGGCAAAGTCTCAGATTTTCATCCTGGCACTGAAATTCTCACCCTCTGCTGTAGTACATAATGTAACGAATTTTAATTCAGACAGGTTCCTGAGTGTCTCTAGTGTTTTATCAGCAACACGAAAAGAACATACAGTGCTTATAAAGCCATGGTCACTTCATAATTAATTCCTCTTCAAACTAATTTCCAGAACTTAACACATTGCCATGCACTTTGTAACGCAATGGATGTACTGTGCAAACAGTCCTGTGAAATAACACCCATAGTATACCGAACTGCTTACTGTTCCTTCATTGGCTTTAATGAAGGGATTTCTAGAGACTTTCATTCAGTGACTGGATGCTGAAGCTACGTGCCTAACAAAATTTACAGATGAAAACCACAGAACTACTGCATCTGGAACTAGACTGGAACTACCCTATAGCTTGTATTTCTAAACATGACATAGCTGTAAAATGTGTTTGATTTTTCATTTCTGGTTTTTCTTTCAAGAAGTCTGCAGTCTCCTACCTTTCTTATCTTTTTTAATGTGATAGTTAACTATAAAAAATAAAAATAAAATAGAATTAAAATAAAATAAATTAAAATTAAACGTTAATTAAAAAAATTGTAATAAATCAATTTACAATAATTATAACAGAACCAAAATAAATGGAACTAATAAAAAAATAAAATAACTTTAAAACCAAATATTTACAATAATCTGAACAACACAACATGGATAAAAAATACTTACAGTATCCATCTTAATGAATTTCATCAGATTATCTTATTTCTTTAATGTATAGTTTTCTAAAAATAGAAAACTGTTCTGCAAATCCTATTAAAATGACCCCTGAAGGATGTGGAGTGTAATCTCACAAGAGAATGGAGAAGATCTTTCCACATAGACCTAAAATGTCCTTGGGGTAAATTCAAATGAAACACCTCCACTTTGTAAACCATACGCTTGGTCTGAGGATTAATTATGCAATACACACAAAAAGCATGCACAAGAACAATGTGACAAACACTGCTGCGTGGGATCAAATTTAATAGCTCGAGGTCCTCCATCTCACGCCATGTATGTTGGTGTGTTAAGAGGGTACAGTGGTCACTGCACATCTGCCCCAAGAGTTATTTTAACTATTGAATTTAGAACTGGACAATTCTTTCCCAGACCAAGACAAGATCAACCCACCAGCTGCAAATGTCAGTTCCAGAACCTTTTGGAATTGACGAGTGCATCAAAGATTGGATTTAATCCTGGTCTCGTGCTGAATTGAGCACCTGAAGATGACACTTTTCATGACCCTGTAAATTGGCCACACATTAAAGAGACTGAATTTAAGACTGAAATTTTGCCCACTGTCCTAAAATGTGCCATAGCAATAAAAAAACTGATAAAAAATGAGAAATTAAACACTCTTAAGACAAAAATAGGCTATAGAAAGAATTAAAGCACACTGCTGTGCTACACAATAATTCTATTGCAACTCCAAACATATTTGAAAGATACCACGATGTTATAGAGGCAGAAATGGCAGTATCTGTTCCATGCACTGCTGATGTTCTGTGCATAAAAGTGACTTAAAGAATATTCCAACATATTCCAGAACTTCCAGAAAAGTTCACCTTTTCTGAAAATATATTTCTAACCTTGCCCAGGGATGAAGCCGGACCATTGGCAGATACGGAGAAGTCCAGTTTGTCATCATCGCTAGAGCCTATGGATTTCAGACCCGCCTGAAGTATGACACGCAATTTCTGGTAGGGTGGTCTGTCAGTGTATCCCAAGGACTTCACTTCTTCCATGAACTTTATCATTTCATCTGAAATTTTAATTAGAAAGGGAAAAATGTCAAAAAACATTCCCACTCATCCAAAATGCTGAAAACAAAATCCTATATTCACGCACGAACAAATCAAGCTGATTAAAGCTGTCTTCGCCACACAGTCCAAGCTTTTAAGGAGTGAAAGAAAATGCAATCAAGTTTTCATTTGTTCCTAAGGCATTTCAAAGAAACTGACAAACATAAAAGTAAGGTTAAACAGGAATAGAAACAGTCCTTATCACAGCTCTATCTAAATTCTTCCTTATGCTTCATTAATTTTATATTTTTGTTTACCATTACAGTACTAAAATAGACTCACCAAACAAAATTATTACTGAAAGCAGTAATAACACTGCCGGATGTCCAGTGTATACACATGACAATAGCCTAAAGAAAAACAATCCATTACTTTCCCATGCTGTGACAGCTCAAAAACTACAGTGATGCCCCTTTACCTTAATCCCAAGTACAAAAAACTGTAAATGGAAGTTTGATGGATTTAGCTGTTTGCTATTTGTATTCATACATTAAACCTGTAGTCCCTTTCTAGCTCAATATCCTTTAAATACATTATATTTTGGACATTCTTTCTCCTCATGTTGATGTTAAACCATGATATGAAATTTAATATTTGACTGCCCCTCTGCGGAAGGATATACTAAATTACTCTATTAAACTGGAATGACAGAAAGAGCACATTCTACTTTTTAAAACTTCTGACCATGTCTATTATGATTCTCTTACGTATGGCCAAGCCTGCTCAAAACAGTTGTTTAGATTCTGTGAAGTTTCGTGAAAATTAGCATGCTGTAAATGAGCTCTCATCATCGGAGAATCAACAGGTTGCTGCTCACAGCATGAAGAAAGAGCTCTTCACGTCACTTATGTTTCATATTAGGAAGTGTTTCAATTCAATTACCACTCTGATGGTAAAGAGACAAACATGCCCTGTTTAGTATTATCGAATGAAGAGCATGAGAGGGCTTTAGTTAGCGACAGAAAGCACCACAGCCGCATCACTGGGCAGTTAAGGACATTTTAAGGATCAGGATTAGTCAGGTTTTTCATATCTGAATGTAAATACCTTGACATTGAAATATTAATTGCAACCATTAGTAGTTTTTAAATTTAAAATTAAAGCAAACGTTTCATACACAAAACTAATTATAAATGCTAGTCATAGTAATCACTGGCTTACATGTTACTAAACTCACACAGTTACGTATCTCGAGTTAAATGTGAGAGTTCTTAATTAAATTAAAAAAGGAATTAAGAAGGGAACTTATGGAGCAGATTTCTAAATACATATTTAAGAAGACAGCTAAACTAGGACAGTAAATGTTTCTAATAAAATAATCTCTGTGCTTCAGCTTTCTTCCAAAACATTTTTTTCAGGAAACCATAAACATAATTTGAAATATTTTTTTAATTGTTACACTGGGCAGTGGTTAAACTCTCACTGTGGAGCCCCGCAGCTGTGATTCAGTTTCTGTTTCAATAGATTCAATAGGCATTTTTTTTTCCTATTTAACAAATTTCTGGAAAATGAAAGATATTACAGAGTATTTCACAATTTACTTTGCACCACATATGCACACAAATATCTGCACTTACCTGGCTTTTCCTTGGTTGAAAAACAGTTTGAAATAAAATCTGAAATGTTCTCTCTGCACCTGGAATGAGTTGATTGAATTAATTTTCTTAAAAAACAAACATCTGGAAATCAAACATTCAGCATGTCAGCTTTTTGCAGCTTTTGCATAATAAATTCAGACTGCAGTGAAATTAAACCATTACCTGAGTTTTGCGTCTCGAACGTAGTTGGGGTCTTGCAGATTATCCTCCCAAGGCAAGCGGCCACACAACCACTGTATCATACAGTACGCCAGGATCTCAATGTCTCCTCTCCTAGAGGGAGCTGGAAAGGAATTGGAAAGACAGAAGAAATGCAATAATGTTTCAAAAGATCCAACAACAAAATATTGATAATATGCACAGGTTTTTACAATATTGCCAACAACAGTAATTGGGAACATTAATAAAGTTTGATTTAAAAAAAACTGCTGCACTTTGACTATTACAATCTTGTGGTTGTGAGGCTTTCATTTCCATAAAAGTATTTGGAAAGTTGAAACACTGAAAAACAACATATTCAATAAGTTCAGCATTTGTCATTTTCAGATGAGTCAACTACCTTCTTTCCGCATTAAACTGAAGACAATTGTAAAAAAATCTAATTATTTAGATGGGTAGAACATAATGTATGTAAGTAACGCTATCTTCATATAGAGGGAATAATATTTTCATCTCATTTTGAATACTAACGTACCTGCTCCTCTGTGTGCATCAATGCTGGTGAACTCAATGGTCCCATCATGACACCTCTTTGGATCTTCTTTATAGTCTTTTATGTTCCCCTCTGGACAATACCTATAGGCCAGTCCATAATCTACTAAGTAAACCTGAGTTTGCAAATACATAAATATATAAATTAGATAAATATTTGTATCCATATCCATAGTTATATACAATGAGAAATATTATGCAATAAACCTATATTAATCTATACAAGTTTTAGATGCAGATTGAACTGCAGTGCACAAAACATAAATGAAAAGGTTTTATGTTGTAGATAAGCTTTCAATGATAAAAAAAAATAGTTTCAGGACATTTCTGGAAAATATCCTACTTCAGCTGGTCAGAAAGGAATTTAACAGCAGTGCACTAAACCCATTACTGGCAAGGAAGCTGCTAGTTATAACAAGTTGAGCAAAGGGTGGATTACGAGGTACATCACGGTATTTTATCCAAAAACCTGGTTCGTTCGGTTGATCACAAACAGAAATTACATTATAATGACCTGAAACATTCTTCCACATCTACTGCCAAATGCTTAAAGGAGAATAAAAACATTAGCCCCACGGTCCAGCACCTTTTCTACATTCTTCTTAAACACAAGGGAGTAACAATAACACAATGACTGCTGAGGTGTGAATAATTTTGAACACAACTGAATTTGTTTGTTAAACCTATTTTCAGTTACATCAAGTTCAGTTTGTACCAAGGGTTTGAATACATTTGAAGCCAAATCAACAGTACACAGCTTATATAAACTAAATTAGCCAAACATGCTGCATCTATAGCCCTGAACATTTAAGCAAGGAAAGAACAGCTTGAAAGTCAATCACATTTCAATAACTAAGGAAAAGGCGAACAACTAAACCCAACAATCCCAAGAGGTCTCAGTCTAAATTTTAATTATAAAAATAGCAGTTTAATAATATACCACTGTTGCATTATTAATCTCCAAATTAAATATTTGCTCATCTAATGTGCTTTGAACAGGCTTTGTAGTTATTTCATCTATTTTTTCAAGGTATCACATGCACAGCATACAAACATAGGTAGACCTCTATTTCTTACAACTTAAACAGAAATAATGTATAAAAAGCAATAACACAGCATTCTGTTATGCATCCTTATTACCAATCTTCACTTTACACAAGCACACAGACTAAATAAATTAATGTGAAAGGGTCTTAAAATTTAATTTAAGCAAACTGCATCAATCATTTCATATACATCGTAATATTGGTATTAACAAGTTGAAAAAAACAATGTTAAATACTGTACCATCATTTTCTTTCTGTTAGAAATCCTAAAATAAAAACATGACACGAGGACACTGACCTGATTGGGGTGTTTGTAGCTAAGAAGAAGGTTCGAGGCCTTGATATCTGCATGCACATACTCGTGCTCATGGATGTACTCCAGGATGTCGAGCTAGCAAGAGAAGACAAGTGCTTCAAACACCACAGCACCATGGGAGGTCAGGTGTCAAACCTATTTTTATACAACGCTCTGAAAAAGAGGACTGCACAGAGTTAAACAAATACAAAATGCACATACTATACATACAAAAAAACAACACTGCTGCTTAGCTACTAATGAAAACCAATAAAAAAAAAAGGTTTTTCACTTGGACTTCAAAGAACTCAAGAGTTTCAGTATATTTCAGCCAACATCAAGTGGAACAGAATTTAGTAGATGGAGAGCACAACAGCAATAAGCTCATTGTTTTATGGTCTTCTCCAGTACAACCAGAGAGTCAAATTGCTCAGATCTGAGAGTAACATGAAATTCAGAGCTCTTGAAGATATTAAGGACTTTTACCTCAAAGACCTCTGCATGTTAATGTAGCCATTTTTAAAGTCAATTCAATGATTCATGACTCAGAAATAGCCAATGTAGTGATTTTATAACTGCTTTAACAGATTGAGAATGCTTTGTGGGCACGTGCAGCCTTGCTGATGCATTTTGAACAAGCCAAGACATTCAAAAATCAAGCCATGAATTTATAAATGTACTTGTCTACATCATTCAAGTTATGCAGGTTTGAATCTAGAAGTTTAAACAACAGAATTTAAATTGAAGGAAGGCTCAGTTCTGTATAAACAATAATAAATCAACATTTCCTTCTAAAATGACATTAATGGAGTCATATTATGCCAAGCCTCCTTTAGAGCCAATTGCAAAAACTCTCAATTAACAAATGTCAAGTTTAGATTTTCTATTTGTCCTCAAAGGCAGCATGTAGCCCAACCAAAGGAGCCCAGGGATGGTCCTCTAAGGAACAGCAAACCTCAGAGCACCCAGATTTTGAAGACCAGAAAGAAACCAGTCCAGCCTTACCAGAAAGATCAACATAAAGTCTCAGATGATTTCAAAGGCTTGTATGAGCAAATGTATCAACTGCAAAGAACATTTCTAACAAAATAATAGGCCAACCTTTTCCAGAATTCATTTAAAGGTCAATGTTAATCTTTAATAAGGCAGTTACTATGCTCATATCTGAACAAATCCAGACTGAAACTTCTCTAGCTAATTGTTACTATTAGCAGTCCTTTTTCCAGTATTTTATATAAAGATAGTATTGATACATAATTAGCTAAACCCTTAAAAGAAAACATGGATTTTAGAAGACATATCTAATCAATGAGCAAAGAGGAGTGTTCAGTCTTTGAAAACCCAGGTAGGTCAGGGATCTAAGTTAACAGCAGCAGGGTGCAGCTCCAAGACTACTTTCTCAACATCACAGCAAGACAAGCTACTGGTAGACAGAGCTGAACTATTTGTAGGATAAACAGCAATGGCAAATTAAGTCAGGAGGCAGAGAAATTTCAGAAATTACAAAAGATAGCTATGGTTGAATATTTGTTTTCAGAGAAATTTCAAATCACTGCAATAGGTAAAAATTGTTAATTTTTCTCTTCTAGAATTGAAGCAGATAAATAATTAGCCTAAGCTTTTGCCAGGGCATCCCTGCATTACATCAAGTGGGACTTTTGGACATCAACACAGACCTTAGCTGACCTTCATCGCTGCTCCAGCTCAGAGGGAGCTTTCAGGTCCATAGAGGACAATCTTCTACTTAAAATCGAACATGTCTGAACTGGAGCTTCTGCTTTTATAATTTAATGAGAGCAACATTATAATAATCAGCAGTTTCAACTGGCAAGAAAAATGAGCCCAACGTTAGTGATTATGCTCTGAATCAAGATTTAAAGTGAAAGGAGGTTATGCTCTCACCTGGAAAACGTTAGCACAATTAGAATGACAGCACCATTGTTAGCTGAAATCACAATGTTGGCGATATTCTGTTCATTTAAAAATCACAGCATTGTGCTGCAGCAGCCATTTGCAGAACTACATGTTAAATGAACACTTTCAATTAAATGACATTATCTTGTTTACTCTACAGTCACAGAAGTATGAGGCTGAATCAAACTACTTACAAGCCTCAGTCCAAGCTGCAGGACTGTTTTTCGAGAAAACTGCTTTCCATTTTCTTCAAAGATTTTTTGCAGGTCTGTACCAAATCGGTCCATAACCATGAACCTATATCTAAAACAGTGAAGACATTTATAAAAATATATATCACTTTGGATTTTAGAAAAGGTTAACAGTACAAGCTGTGATGATGAATTAAACTGTCAGGACAATGATGAAATAATGAGAACATTGCATTCTAATCAGTTGAGCTTATCAAAGAAAATGTCCTTATAAAGCTAACAAATAGTACAGTAATGTTTTTTGTTATTTCTGATTTTTTAATATTTTCACTTCCTAGTAACAGCACTAGGTATATTTAGCTGCTGAGAAAATTATCTTTGAAAAAGAAGCATTTATTTCTACAAAACTTTAAACAGCCCTCTAAAACAAAAGGGCTTTATTCCACACATAATAATAATGAAATATAATGGTTTGAAAAGTGAAACTATTTTAAACATTTGGCATATTAGTCACTAAGATATGATACAGTTTAAATTGCTAGGCTTTCCCAGATGCACTGCTGAAGACAAAGAAATGCTGAATTACGCAGTGAAACATTAAAAGCAGATTCACCTCTTCCCTCCCTTTGTGTGCAGTCCTGATCCCCAGTACGCCGGGACTCCTAAATATTTCAGCTTGTGAGACCTCACCCAGCTCTGAACTAAACAGGAAAAAACAGTCTAAAACCTTCACACCCAATCAGTCGGTCACACTCAGTCAACCCGTGAATGTAACCTTTCACTGTGCAGAAACCACATACAGCATCCAAAGCAGATTAGAAATGCATTGGAGAAAATTGATCATACTTTATTGAAAAACTATACAGTATAGTCAGATTCTGCCGACTGAAGTGAAAATTAAATCAAGAATGGGGAAATCAATTAAACGTGTTTAATGAAAAAATCCAACTTTCTTGTATGCTATGTAATAATAATGCAATTCCACTGAGGCAAAGTTATGAGTGACTGCAAGCAAACTTGCTAGTGGGCCGAATATTTACCAACAACATGAAAGTTTAATGAATAAAATATGAATCTTACTTAGTAATATAAAGATTAATTGTCTGGGGAGATGCACATGAGAATTTTAATTTATATAATCCAAACCCCTGGGCCACAGAGAACACCAAAAGCATTTTGCAGTGTGTGTATTTGTCCCTTAAGTTGTTGAAGAATAACTTTTTAATAAAAAAGTTTTACGTGCTTATATATTTAAATGACAAGAGTGTTACAATCCTCACACTTATAGAAAGCTTACTTAGTTCTGGTTTAGCAGCTCTCATGTAGAACTTCAGCTCGGAAAAAAGAGGTCCGTTGTCACTTGGCTCCTGTATAAGCACAGTATACAACTGTAGTTTTCACGTTTGAACACATACCTTAAAGTTATAATCTATAGTATTAGAAATATAATTGGCACCCTTTTTCAGGTATTTACATGAACTGCACAAGAATCACCCACGCACTAAAATAATGCAGTCTATATAATTTGGATTTTTCAGTAGGGACTATTCAAAATCAACAATTCAAGTCTCTCAAAAAAAGAAATCTTACCACTTTAATGACATAAGGTGCATCACTCCCAACTGCTTTAGAACTCTCATCAGCTAAAAAGAAAATCAGATACGTTACCCAAGTTTGTTTCACAGTCATAAAAAAATTCAATTACAATTAACAGTGACAGACTTTTACATATCCCCTTACACATGCACAGCTAAAAACATCAATTTAAGATCGCACATAATGGAAATTAGATTTAAATCACAGGATGAATCTCACAGTACTTTACTATAGAACAACAGAGGTAATAATACACAAATACAGTAAACTGACAATAAAACCAGTTTATAAAGTGAGTTTTAAGACCAGATTTGAAAGTGCTGAGTGATTTGTAAGATCTGATATGGGTTAGAAGATCACTCCAGTCTTGGAGCAACAAAACAGGGCCCTTCCTATTCAAACCCAGACACCCAAAAGAAGGCGGTGCAGGTTACATTTACTTTAGAAATGCAGGTTTATTTAAGACCCAAGCAGTTCTAACCAGCTGAAAGTGAAGAACCCAAAACTGCACTGTAATAATCAAGCCTAAAAGAGATAAAATCACGCATTAGCCTTCCCGCAAGAGAGAAGGAGAGCTGCGAAGGATTTATTGAAATTTAATTGCAATTTAATGAAAAAGGAAAAAAAAGGGATCTTCAGAACACTGTAAACATGAGCTTCTGTTGGAAAGATGACCCGAGAATACCCGGACTGATGCCAAGACCTTCAGCCGGGGCTGACCCATTTGCGGAGTGGATAAAGGGAGCTCATCAGCAGAACCCGCTCCAGCCAGAGTTCGGGTAGACTCACCCAGGTACAGCACCCCGAACCCCCCCTCGCCCACGGGCCCGCCCAGCTTCCACTGCTTCTTCGCCGTGTCGGCCAGCACCTCCCCCGGGGGAAACCGCTCGGCCACTCTTCTCTTCGCCGGGGCCTTGCCCTTCCCCGCCACCTTGCCTTTCGGGGGCATCTGGCGTTACACACACAGTAAAAACACATGATGAGAACCACGAGTCCAAGACAGCTCTCAACACCCGCTGAAGACGACCCTTAGGAGCCGCGCTTAGTTCTTTAACCCGGGCTGTCAGCTGCTACCCTGGGAGTGTTTACATGCGGCGACTGAACCTTCCCTGTGGGTCAGCTGCACAAATTGAAAACACAGCACGACGAGAAAAGCCAAAACGTACATAGTAACTCCACAGGACATGAACTGCAGTCAAATTTAATTACGAGTTTTGCTGGAACTTCACGCGCTTTGTAACACATCACAATGTTAGGACTTGTTTTTAAAACGTTACGGGGAAGTCTAACTTCACCGACTTATACGGCCTACCGGTATTTACTGCTTCGTCAATTTCCGTGCTCCTGTTTTGTTTCCAAATAAAACCTCAGTGATCGTGCAAAAAAACTGGACAGTGAAGATAGCTAACCTCTCAAGGTACCAAAACTTATAGTATCCGGAATAAACCAAGACTCTGAGCTCTTCCTATTTTCCTTCCTGACGACCACAACACTCCGAAATTCCCGCACTGAGAAGCAGAAGGAACACCTTCCACAAACACAGCAACAACGGAGCATCTCATTGGTCAGAAACGGGAGTAGTGCGCGCTTCACATCCGGGGTTTCGTCGGTGGTTGATGGTATTTGTAGTTCTTACACAGTGAGTGAAAAGTCGCGTTTGAAATACCAGGAAATCCTGTAAGATGCTCGTCCTTACAAATTAAGTATACAAGAACAGCCAATAGTAAATTAAATACCAGTTTTCTAATTAGACCATTCTAAAATTTGATAGCCTAAACTATGCCAAAACAACATTTTATTTCAGTTTTTGCTTCTCTGTATACCATGTACCTCTTAGAGACTTGTTATTTTTGGAATTCCTATCAGCAGTAGCGACAACACGCTATCACAAACTTAGCTTAATCAAAAAGTTACAGATGCCAGTGTCTCAATATTTCAGAAACTCTGAGATGGTAACAGCCTTTACACGAAAGAGTTGCATTCTTTGTATTTATTGCAAGACAGCACTTGTTTTGTCGGGGGCAGTAAGGTTTCCTCTTATACGTGGGGATGTAAATAACATTTTTCTCCCCCTTTTGTATTTCTGGTATATATGCAAGGTATATATGGGCGTACATGAAGCCTATTATTTGCATTTTATAGTAATTTTAACAATTGTCCATGGTTTCCTTTCAGCGAGGATAGGTTTAACGAGTCCAGCTGCAGCGCTGCTGTCGTGCTCTGCAGGCGGCTAGAGCTGGAGACCCCAGCAATAGGGGATGAAGGGAGAGGAGGAAATTGGGTCATGTGTCAAGGGATTCTCGGCACGGAAAGAAGCCGCAATCATCTTTCATTCACATTCATTTTGACCATCTACCCGGCTGCTGGACAAAATCCGGACATTTTCCGAAACGAGCAGAGCCCGGAGCGAACACGTTGCGCCGGAGAGGCAGGGCTCTGAAGCCGCTCGCCATTCGCGTCTCCCCGTGTGCGGAAACTGTAGCAAAATTAAATTAGACACAACACACGAAACCTCTCCGGACAAAACTGTAACATCCTTAACTGTCGGATTGTTCGCTGCGTTCAAAAAGAAAGGAGAGGCCTCCTGGACACACCGCCAGATTATTGAATACTTTCTTTCATATTCACAGTCAAAAGAAGAATGGAAGCGAAACTTTTTTTTCCTCACCCTGTTGATGTGTGATCAGCATATTGCACATAATGTATTCATTACTGACACGGCACCCGTAGGGGTAATTAACAATACTTTGAAGAGTTCGTTTGTGTCTTCATATTAATAATTAGTATTTGGTGCCTATGAACTCATTCCCAGAAATCTCCATAGTGCATACCCAGGGCACACTTAGAGCATTTAGCAAAGAGGTCCTTTAAAATAAGATGTGTTGTGCAAATGTAGTTTATGCCTTCTTAGCTTTAGTTTCTTTTATCTGGCTATTTGATATGGAAATATTGAATTTCACATGCATGTTAAAAGACTGCCTTATAAATAATTAATGGCATGGTATCCTATATCAGCTTTACAAAAGTGTAGAACAGAGAAAAGGACTTCAGACTTCAGCACCGACCTGTGTCCTCAGAGAGTTACTATCTGTTGAAGCATTTTGCACTACTGAATAGGAAAGATGCATATTTAAGATTCTGCATATCTTAGCTATGCTAATAACTCTATATTATGACAGTTCTTCATAGGTTAGCTTTGTTATTATTGGTAGTAATAATACTGATTGACTTCATAATGCATACAAAAAGTATATAACCTGGAACAGTGACTTAATACGACAGTTTTTCCAGCGTAATAGGACGCAAAAGGAACAGAATCTGAAAATTCGACTAAAATCCACATACAGCAGTGCACTCTATCTTAGGTATTACTGTGTGGAGAAAAAAATACAGTTTGTTTTTACTGAAATGCGGAAGTCAAGGAGATTGTGAACAGACAACATTTAGCTGGTTTAACTCCAGTCCTGTACTGACAGGGTGCTGAGCCCACAGCTCGAGATGGCTCACTCTGAGGACCACAGCAAGGCAGCACTGACTCCCTCTCTCCAGTTTACAAAGAAAAGCAAAGGCGAGAAGCGTGTGTCTTTCCCATCGGATGAAGAAATGGTGTCAGGCTTCGCTGAGCACAAGGACGTGTGGAGGGACGGTGAGCTGATGTCCTTTTTGTACCCTTTCATCTCTGCATTCCCCAGACTGTAGATATACAGTAGAGAGGGTGTGTGGTGAAGTGGAGTGAGTTGGAATGTAAGATCTATTGGACATTTTCTGGCCACTCATTCTTCTGTATTTTCAGGTTTGAGCCCCATAAATCTGAATTCTACGAAGGTTACAACCAGTGTCCCCCAGACTTTAATTAACTGGTCATGTGGGATACTTTGCAGCTTGTCTTTTTAAGTACCCTGATATCTCTTGTTTTTCACAGTAAAATGCTGCTGCTGATGACATAGCTAGAACACTACGGTACTCATTATATTTCCACTCGCACCCCTTTCCTAATGTCAAACCACTTTTTTTCCACTGCTTTTAAGGACAAAACTATGTATTTCAATGGAATTGTATCCTTAAGATAGCTTGACTGCACTACCACATTTTATTTTTAAAACACTGCTTTCTGTCCCTTTTAATTTTTTTACTGTAAGGAAACCACAGTTATTTTTTCTTTTGTGTCTTTTTATGCCTTTGCTGTTCCTGTTAGAATTAATATATCCTTATAAAATATATAAATAGAAACACTTTTTAAAGATGGTCCAGATCACTATGAATTGATGGACAATCATGATTCTTAAGAATTAATTTACCTTATTCTGTTTTTTACTGCAATTGTATTCTATTGAATGTTTACTTCAGAGTTCTGAGCCTAAACCACATAGCATCTCTTTTGAAGTATTTCAGATTTTCTGACCACAATTTGTTCTCTAGGTATAATTGTATCCCATTTTACTCTATCTGTTCCATTTATGTATTTATGTTTACTCTCTTTTCCGATTTAAAATACTTTTGATAATTCCGTCAAATTATGAAAAAGACTAAAACACATTTGCTGTGATCAATACATACTGTATCCTATAACTAATTTTATCAAGATTAAGTGAACACTGCCATTTCCTCAAGCCTCACATTAAATGTCTGCATTTACCTTTTGTAGTATTTACCTATATGCAATAATTTCTGCAGTCACACCAAAAAACAAAAAATCTCTCTAGCATACTTACAGCTATTTTATGGGGCAGGTAAATAAGCTCAAAAACATATTTTATTTCCTTAAAACTATATTCCAAAAGAAAAGGATTCAAGAGTCTGGGTAAGTTTAACCTGACCTCAATGCTCTGGGACAGGACCTAAAGGTTACAAATCCTTAGGGAACTTGGTTTAAAAGAGCATTAAGAGACAGCCCTGTGTTCTGTACTATCGGTATGCTTCTCCACAGGACAGTGTGTACCTCATGAGATATTTCTTTGAGACAGGAAGCACTAATGGTCATTTATTTGTTAGTTGAGTGTTTTTTTTGTTAACATGTCTCTAAAGCTGATTCACACAACCCTTGAGACTTCCTATAACTTTGGTTTCTCCTTTTTAAATAATGATACAAAACGGGGACAGCTTTAATCTAGATTAAGTTTTTAGTGAAAACTCAGTCCCTGTTAAGTGCGTGTAACATATGTTTAGTGAGTAATGATGGAATATTTTTGTTTCAGTAGACAGCATCACCTTGAAAGAGATAATAGCAAACTATAAGCAGGCCTGTCAAAAGCACCAAGTGGAACCCAAGTCAATGATTCTGGAACAGCTCCAGGTTAGTATATAGAGCATGAATCTCTGCACCCATCCCCCGTTCAAGACAATGAGGGTCAATTCAGGCTGCTGTCAGATTTGAAGTTGATTTAATGTACCACACTGGTGAATTATAGTATGTGGTATGTCTACAGTATATTGCATATCTAATATTTCTATAACTTGGAAAAGCACAAATGTTCAACAAAATAATGACAAGTCAGAGGTGAATCTTACACATCTTAAACATCAAAACTACAGAGTACACTTTGAAATATATTATAATCAGTTAATTAAAAAGTTTAATGAATTATCTTAATTACATTAATTAAAGCTGGTATGAGCAATTTTAAAAGGAAATGAGTATGGGTTAAAAGTTAAACCAATTAAAAGGTGGGTTAAAGGAAGAAGGTGAAGGGTTCAATTTTCATCTTATTTTACTGAGTTATCACATACAGTATTAAGGACAAGTATATATAATGAATTTAATATCCGTCCTTTTAATTTGGCTACCCTCCTTTTTAGCATCTATTTGTATTCAGATACCATCTGTAAAAATAATGATTAGATCAAGGAGAATTATTTGTCAAAAGATTGATATGATACAGTATATCAGCTTAGATTAGGCTGATTTACTGTATTATCTTGTAGAAGTAAACGATCCTGAATGAAGGGAAAAGTTTTGTAAGTGGTCTTCATACAGCAGTATAATATGTATGGCTACTGTATGCAGCAGCTGAATGGAGAAATATTTAGATTTAGGCTGCAAGTGAAGTCATAATAAGAGTATGCAAAACAGAAATTGCAGCTTAAATAGCATATTTATTAAATTAGGTATTTGAAGGCAGGGTAGTCCCGTGAGAATGGCCTTGAAAGACTATTTAAAGCATTTATTGTACCCGTGGGCTTTCAGTTTCCTTTGAAATGTTTCAAGTAGATAAAGCAGTACTGCTGTTGGTTACATCTTCATAAGAGCGGTAAACAATAATGGGCTTGAACACAGGGCTCTGGGCCCTAGACTTAACTAAAGGCCTAACACCCTCAGAAGTTCTCTGCAGGGACAGATAAAGTCTGGAGTGTTGTGCTTTAGCTTCTGTGGCATGAAAAGAATTACTGTAATGGATTTACCACTAGAAGGCACCAAATTATATCAGAGAAGGGTTTGGGATGAGGGAATGGATTACTTATTAAAGTAAGTGATGCATTCATTGAAATTAATTTGCAAATTTACAACATCTACAACTGTATTTGGCCTAACGGATGTTTGTGTAGATGACTACTGCAAAAGCTGCTGTATATTTTGGAGTTTTAATTTCCACAGTCTTCGTTAAATTACTAAGGACATACAGTACAGTATTGGTTCCATTCATCAACTTACTAGAAACTTGTTCCTTGTTATTTTTCACTTCCTAAACTGGTGTCCTTCAACCCAAAAATATGGGATGCGTTTTGATATGAAAGTTGATTTTGTACTAGTTCACCACACATGAAATAGAAAAATCCAGTTCTATTTAGCAGTAATTTTCTTTGTAGCAACATTAAAAGCCTATTATTTCTCAGCACTAACGAGGGTTTGAGTTTCCAGTGGAATGTGACAGTCCAAAGCTTGTGGAGGAGAAAGTCCGTTGTCACTCTACTAGCTTGTCCTTGTGTGCACCAGCCAGGAACTCCACACAACCAGCTGGAAGGACAAGCTTGCGTCACAGAGACTGAATACTTATGATGACATTATGTATTGTACTTTTTACACATGTACTATAGTAGTATAGCATCAAATATGCATCCTTGTGCTTTTGTTTTTGAAAAATACTTCCGCTGATGCACCTGCACACATCATTGGTGATGTTACCTGAGGTCACTGGGAGTTTCAGGTCCTTCAACGTCAGACACCCTCGCCCGGTGACTAGTCTGGGTTGGTAAAGCCCCAGGATGCGTCCAGGTGACTTTGTTGCCCACGAGTCACTGCTCTTGATCCACAGCCATATTGAGGCTCTTTCTGCAGCGTGTATATGGTTTTGATGGCCTTCCTCTTGATCACCCCTGTTAGGCCCAGAAGACTGTAGAAGACAAATCCTCTGCAGCCCACCTCAATGGCCTCACACCGCACTCTCCACCCGTTCACATGACACTGGTCAAACAGATCTTCATCCTTTCATTAACCTCCTCCACTGGGTCTTCCCAACAATACAATCTGCCTGAGTGTGGTCACTATGATGGTGTTGGGGAACCTAAGCTGCCTTCCTAGGTCGACCTTCAGCTGCCAATCTCTCCCTTTTGCCAAGAAACCCACTGATACTTTGGGCTGTGGCTGCTGACCAGCTCTGACAAATGCAATGGCCCAATTTTCTAGGTGCTGATGTTAACTGCTTTTGATACCCCAGCTAATAGTGTCCGCTAAGTTCAAGCAACCTGGCACCTTAGAGATCCCATCCCGCACTGACATTTATATGTAATTGTTCTTAAGGATATGTCAAGTGCTGGGTTACAATGCTAAAAAATATCTTCTCCTCAGTGTTGAGCAGTGAAATGATCCTTTTCATTTTAAAATCAATCAATGCTTTTTGAGCTCTCATCTTTAGAAATACAGACACCCTCTCCCATCCTCTACTGTTGTGCCACTTTGCCTTCTCCACCGGACAACCTTCAAAATCTTCCGAAGCCCGAAAGAGAAGCTTCGGGCATCACCTGTACTCTTTCTAGAGTACTCCACTCAGGCCAGGTGCTGAGCTCGCTCTAGCAGCTTTGTCAGCCTCCTGAATCTCCTTCCAGCTGGCTTCTGTTTCATCAAAGTTGATGCCAGATCTTGCTGGATTTACCAAGCAGTCCCCGAGATCTTCTTCTCGTCTTTCATCACTGTGGGTATTCCACAGATAACAGCCAATGTCCTCTTTAGAACAGGAGAGCTGGCTGCTGCGCGTCCTCTCAAGCAACTGTTTGATAAATCCAAACAGGTTTGCAAAGAAGGAAGCTTGCTTTACCTGGCCCTGTCTCTCGCCCATCTCCTATGCCATTCCGCCCAACGCAGGGATATAGGCTTCTTCTGAGGATATTGCTTAACTCAGCCAGTGGTGTTCTCTTTCCTCACTTGCCTTTCACAATTCTCAGCTCATGTCTTAAGTGCAGAATTTTGGCAGCTCTCCTGTTCATTGCAGAAGGAGCACTGGGGGTCTTCTTCTCCACTGTACCAAACCTCTCAGCGGCAATGTTAACTATGATTGATTTCATGTTTTTACAATTTCTAGCAAAGCTTTCACATTAAGTTTGCCACCTAACTATTCCTTCATAATCACAATAATGTAATGGTATTGGTTCCACGACCATGTATCGCTACGATTTTAGTGCCCCAGATCCACAGAATACCATGAGAATACCTCAGCTACATTTTAAAGGGCAGGACTGCTTCTCTTAGTGCTGAAAATTATATCTTTTTTGTGTTGATTTACTTCACATACTGTGGTGAGTGGGTGGAAACAAGCCATGTTATATAAGAGCTGGGATTTTTAAGGCAGCAATACTCACTACTTGACCTGGATTTCATCAAAACCCCAAGTCAGCCAAGAATCTCAAATTACAAACATAATACGTGATAGAGGCTTGGTTTACTACTGGTTTCTTGCACCTGAATGGTAGAAACTCTCTATTAAGTGTTGGTTTATAACATGAAACTGGTGGATGGGTCAAAATTTAATCCAGAAAATAGTGCCAGGGAATTATAGATTTTATAGGTGATTTCAAATCCCCAGTGGCTGAAGAATTGAGAAAACCCTTGCACTTTAGACCATTTAAATCAATAATTGATTAAGTTATTAAGTGCTCACACAGACTGGAAACCAGGTTACTTCAGTTTCACTCTGGGAACAAGAGTGAGGATCACACTTTTAAGGAAAGGGTTTTGTTTTATACTCCTATCCTATATATTCTCAAATAAAAGCTTGATTCAAAAGCTTGATGAAAAGGCTTAACTGTCATATATGTATCATTCCCAAGGAGAAGCCTGCTTTGTGCTCTGGTCTAAAGTGTGCTGTCAGTAACATGCATGGACCCTGAATACAGAAATGATGCAAAACGTCAAGCCAACCCAATGAAAAGAAAGTAATGGTATGTATATGGGCCAGCAACCGGGGAAAGGGAAGAAATAAATGGGACAAAGTATGTTTGCTGTGATGAACATTTTCAAGAAGAATGAATCATGATGGAGATGCAGTGCACAATATCCAAAGAACAATAAGAAAGAAGCTGATCCTTTGTCAGATGCCAGGAGGAGGTCCTTAAGCTGGCAGGAGAGGCTGGATGGTGTTACAGTATACAGTGATGTTACTGGACAAAAACATCCAGCCGCAGATTGATGACAATGGAGATGCTATTTGTGTGTGGAGCTGTGAGGGTTTCACATTATACACTACAGTGTTAAAGAGCATGTGTCAGGTACTGCTGTTGCAGATCCTTGACAATCGGGATCTTTGTACTGTACATTGTGAACATGTTTTTGAATACTATTTGAGATGCCACAACCTGACAAATACCTTCCATAAATGTCTTTAGAAACAAAATAATTTGGAAATTATGTACAGTACATTCTTTTCTTTTAATCTAAGTATAATATTAAAAAAGCAGATTGGAAGTACGGACTTCTAAGATGCTTCTTGTAATATAACAGAATTTGCAGATGTCTTTGCAAATGAGTACAAGTACTTGCAAATACTTTATTAAACATTTTGTTTTTAGTGAGGAAATAAATTTGAATTTTCTCAGTGCATGATCATTAACTCCTGTTTAATCTACTGACCAAATATCATAAATCATGTTTCCCAGATTGTGATTTTTTTCATGTAAAAAACATGTGAACTTTGGTTTAATTTGGCCCTGACATGACTTAAAAAGTCAATAATAGTGAGACACAGCGTTAAAAAACAATGGTTCACATTTTCTTACACTTTTTTTCTTCGTCTGATATTAGGCATAAAATAAAAATAGCTGACGGAAATCACATGCTCTTTATAAACTAGGGCACTATCATTAATA